TATACATCAATGCATTAATGTGATTCAACAAAGTTTAATATTATATGATTATGTTATGTTTCTGCTATTGCAAAAATATTTAATATCCATGGAAAACTAGTTGGTTCTCCTAATTTGAGTTATTTAGAGATGTACAAGTATGAATCCTGTATCATTCCTTTACAAGTCCCCTCAAAAGAAAGTCGGCCTGGCAAGCTTGAAAATTTTGTAGTCCTACCATATCTTGTGGTTAATCAACTATTGATATTGAAGACCACGAAAAATATTCAAACACGATACTTTTCAATTTAAAATCCCGATTTCATTAATTAATCACAATAATTTGAGTTGTTGAAAATGACATAAGTATATATCTTATGTAAATTCTTATTTTAATACAAATTCTTCGTGCATTGGCCAACATGAATCTATATAATGGACACCTACCCTATCCTCAAAGTAGTTTCTAATAGTTAACTTTAGAAATCACTCGTTAGAATGTGTCGGATAATTCTTTCAAGTTAAAAAGAAAACATAATTTATGGTGTGTTAGTACAAAGATGTGTTGGTTACAATAATTGTAAAATCATATCGGAGATTGTACCGTCAAAGACTTCCCCTAACATTGTTATGGCCAAATGTGGATTCCATCCCATCTTATACATGTTTCAAAAACTAAGTTCAGTGTATCATATATCTTCCCCATTATTCACTTATTGAACACACTAAAAAATGTTATTGAAAAGGTTGAAAAATAATTTATCATTAATTATAAATTAGCTCAGTCACAACCTAACACATTAATATGATGAATTAAAAGGATCGAATGTGAGAATTTTCCTACAAATCCCCTTTTGGTATATTCGGGATAATAAAATTTAATGCTTGTTTATTGTATATCCAACTCATACACCAAGAATAATCGCCGGCCGGCTTATTCACCCACCAACCAACAATGGAATGTCGTCTGTTTCCATGTCTCTCCTCGGGGGCTTGGAATGGTTCGAATTAGGTTTTCTTTGCCCCCCAACTGGTCTGTATATAACTCATAAATGAAAGTCTAGGGATGAGCATGGCTCGGTCTAGAATCGACCTGGATGAAAAGAATGAGGACTAAATATAAATTATTTAAGGGGTCCGGAGGCAATGGAATTCAAATCGAGTCTTTTCGAACAACTCTAATTATTGAAATGAATTGGCATGCATTCGATACTAATGGGATAAATGAATGATATACAAGAATGATATTTGAACATCAATCTCTCGAGAATTCAAGAAATGATTTTGGGGTCGAATCGTCTGATAGCTTACGATTGTTGAAATTGATGTATTTTGTATGTATATAAGGGTCAACAACCGTTTCTCTAGTCCGCACTTGATAAAAAATGAACATTTGGACTTACCCAAACCGAACAAAATATAATGAGGTCTGGTCCTAATTAATCAAGTCCCTTGAATATTAATCTAAATGATAAAGAAACAACGGATTGAATCGATGTTCGGCCGAGACCAAATCGGAACGCGTGCGTCTAGTTCTAATCCTTCTGAATGTTAAAAGAAACAACAGACTAAATCGTTGTGTGAAGCACATGATATACGAGCCTGTGCAAACTTCAAACACTCCTCTCTTCAAGTTTAAACAAGACCACAAGCTAGCCACCATGCACGTGTGGGTATCATCTTACTAGAGGAAAATGCCCCACCAGGCACCAGGCGACGTGAAATTTTCAAGAGAAACCCTTGTTCGCTTTCTAATAAGTCCGAAAGACGCATAGTATACAGTCTTTAGCGACGGAGATAGTAGTTTATATGGTTGCTAATAAAGAAGTGAATGAACTCTCTAAATAAGGATGATAATTCTATTCGTATTCATGAATATTCATCCCTCTCCGACTCAGTCAATTAGGAAAATCCATGCATTAGTGGTGATATGAGTTTAGGTGCCTCCATTCTCATACAAATACTCGTTCCACACTCAATGGTCAATCCTAATACTACATAAAACCAATTACATGTCATCTTATCCCATTCTCCATCATCCTCCACCAAAATTTGAAAAGAATACAATTCTCATCTCCTTACTTCCACTTTCATAAATCTATCAATACATATACATCGCCATTCATCCTAGTTTCCACAAATACTTTATATTTTTGTTGTGTTTTTTAAAACTACTTGGGATTATTCTCATACACATACTTGACCCACACTCTCATATGCTCATCAAGTTCTCATTCTAACCACTACCAAATTTAACAATCCATCACGTCACATTCCATATCTCGAACAACTAATTATCCAAACAATCGACAAAATCAAATGTAACAATGTATTTACACAATAAAAAATATGTCACATCTTATTGTAAAGTCCGGTCATCAAAACGACCCATTAAATTTTCCAAACACTTGATTAAAAAGTGGCTTTGATCACTATCCGTGACTGGCTAGCCAACTTGGAAGATGTTTATAAGAACAATGATCACGCATCTAGCTTTGCAATTTGGCAGGGCATACATATATAATTAGCCATTCAGAAGCAGATTAGAAGTAAAAAAAGGCTAAAAATTGTAGGTAGGTGTCCTTGTCTTATACTTTGGGAAAAGCCATTCTTTTTTGTCTTAAGAGATAGGGCTCTCCTCTCCTCCTTTACAACTTAACCTATCAACACCACCAACAATGTATATACTACCAATTACAAAGACACCTACTTGTCTTCTTAGGATATAGGAAGCGATGTTCCTCAATCAAGTGCTTTTTCTTCTTTCCCCTCCTATGATTAATTAGTTATAATAATCGATCATTACATGCTTTAGGAGTGTGTATGTGTATCTTTGCTCAGAAGAAACCTCTATGAAACCTATGTATTTATCATTTTATCTATTGCTATTTCTCAAAAGGTGATCTCTTTAAAAGTTTAGAGCATCTTTTCAATACATTAGATGTTACTAAATGCTATAAACTCCGTAATTGAATTTTCTTCAATAACTCGAGTTATTGAGAAAAATTAATTTTGATTATGGTATAAATTTTTTCGTTGATCGAGAGGTTTTCTGAATGAATTTCGACGATCCCATTTGTTAAGCATGCGGTATTCAGACCTTTGCTAACTTCAAATTAATATGAGTTGTCTTTCTTTTGAAGAGGCGTATTAGTAAATAATATAAGATTCATAATTTAATTTCTTTAGTAAACCGAGTTATTGGAACCAGTTGGTTCTTAACATTAGATTGGTTCATTTGACACAATGATGAGATGCTAATTATAGTGAGTAGGCGATTGACTTCCTAAGATAATTATCACTTAGATAAAAATCTAGCTCGCTTCAACATTTCTTCCTTAAGTATTATAACTATCTCTTAAATAAAAATCTTGATAATTTTTCTCACATTTATGATGAATTTCTTAAGAAAAAAGTAATATCGAAATTCTAAGAAAAAATAATTTTATATCAAGAAATTTATACATAATTATCTAGGAAGGGTGGAAATGAATTTTCCCATACCGCACATGAATAGATTTTGGCATATCATTTTACATTCACACAATTACTTTTGATTTTATGGACCAACACGATTTTAAAACCATGATTCGACGATAATCTTTAGAAGAACCAATCCCTCATCCTTTAACTTCCCATGAAAAGAACAAACATCCTTAACGTATAACTCGAGGAAACACCTAAATATGACCTCGACAACTAAATAAACGCCAAACTGCAGCCGATTATTGATAATAGGACATAGGTAGGCCTCCATGTCAGCAGGAAAGAGCCCAATAGGGCAATATGTTGTTTTTTCCCTGAAAATTCTGACCTTAGTAGGGTTGATGGTACAGTTTTGAAAATGTCATCATCTGTCTAGTCCAATAGCTTGTTGGGCTTACATGATATTGGTGGGTGGGTTGGGCTTAAATAAGGGGTGGGCTAGCTCAAATAAGGCAGCAGCAGGATATCATCGATCACAAATATTTTTTAAGGACCCTTCTCAGTTCTCATCTCAATTCATCTCATCTCAGCGTTAATCACAAGCAACAAAAGCCCTAATTAAAAAAGGTTGTGGGTTATGCAAAGTATTAAGTATAATATATTAGATTTATGGTTAATTGCTAAATTGGAAGTGTTTGAAAACAAATCATCAGAACCAAACAAACTAAAAAATTTAACCAAACCAAATTATCCAAATTCCACAAATCAAATTTTTCGAATACTAACCGCTAAAATAATTACCATGATAACCACTCCGTTTATACACCCGGCCTACTGACCATGGTTTTGATCACTGTGCCCTTTTGGTGCTGCTTTTGTTTCCTCCTCTTTGATCCACATCTCTGTATTAAACCTATAGTATACAACAAGTTCTTTCCTTCCACAACCATCTCTAATTATCTACACATATATACAAAGTATTATACTTAGATATCCACTAATTTACGTAACTATTCTACCTATTTACACTAATTTAGAATTAAAGTGAATACTTCACTAATTTACATACTTAAAATTAATCATCCACTAATCTAAGTACTTAGTCTATATACATCTACACAAATTTAGACGTAATTCCAATTGTACACTAATTTACGTAATTAATCTACACATATACACATATGTATCATCAAATTTAATTACCCACTATCTACGTACTTAATCTACATAATTAATTAGATGAGGCAATATTCTAATTAAGACGAAGCATGAGCTCTCCCGTTTTCTCTCCACCTCCCCCTGATCTCTTTCTGAGTTGGACCAGCCCCGCCGTCCTGTTTGGAATGATTTGGCATCGCCGGCAACGGTAACTCTTGGAAAACGGAATCAATCGCATGCCGAAAAAAACGACAACATCTCCCGTCACAGAATAACAAGCAAACGCAGCACCGTCCTGATCTCGTCATATCATCAAGCAAGCACTATAAAAAAAAGAATGGCATTTGATCGATCACGAAAAGCGTTGCTGTAAAAACCATGGTGATCAACAAAGCATCGCGAGCGGCGGTGGTATTATTGGCGACCATAATGTGATAATGATGATCATTATGGAACGTCCTTGTTCGGTCCAGGGATCAGTTACCATTACCAATCACTTAACCCAAAAAGTATTGATTGTGCATTGTCGATCCAAAGACAACGACCTTGGAGCCCATGCGGTAGACGTTGGGGCAACCATCCACTGGAGCTTCGGGCCGAATTTATTCGGCGGGACACTTTTCTGGTGCAAACTCGCGGTCCAAGACAGGCGTATCTCTTTCGTGGCGTACGAGCAAGGCGTTGAAAACCGCGGAATCTGGTTTGTTCATGACGATGGGGTTTACGGTACTCATACTAAGGTCTTCCTGAAGGCTGCATGGACGCGGCCATAAAGCGCATGCATGGATCTGTATCCAGAGATCTTGTAATGGAATGCTATAAGATATATTTTTTAGCTTTTATTTACTAAAGTCATAATATAGTATCATAGTTTTATTTACTGAGATATGTTTTATTTGAGGTAGAGGGGAAAACTGAGCTAGATGCACTGGAACACCCTCAGCTAATAGCTAGGAGTGGGAAACCATTTTCAATTTTTAGGTCAAATCGAAAATCACATTGTATAACCCGATCCAATTACAACCGATGTCTACCTTCGGGATGTTGCGGACTGTAGAGTTATCGTAACCACGGCTCAGCGGCGGATCCAAGACACAGTAGAATACTGGACCGCAGTTCATTAGAAAATTAGATACCGTAAAAGAATTATAGTTTTTTTTACAATATCAATTTTACACGTCGATCTTTTAAATTTTAATATAGTGAATTCATCAATAATGGAGTGTACATCCATACCAATATCATACTCTCTTTAAGATAAAATAGTTAACCAATTGGCGAGAAATTCATCGCTCATTTTGTTGCACAAATAATTTTTCACCTATTTCATTGTTGAAAAGGTTTTCTCCATATTAGTTGTTGAAACGAGCAATGTCAACTCTACACAAATCAATCGACTAATCAAATATATTTCTTTTAGTCTTTTACGTTTTAGACTTTTAGGATTTTACCTATTTCATTGTTGAAAAGTTTTTCTCCATCGTAGTTGTTGAAACGAGCAATGCCAACACTAGACAAATCAATCGACTAATCAATATATATTTCTTTTAGTTTTTTACGTTTTAGACTTTTAGATTTCATTGTTTGTTTTTCTTTAGACGTAAACCATTGGAGCTAAAATTTTCAGGCTAAATTTAGAGTTGTGATTTGAATATGTTCATCTGACCCATTTTTCTAATTACACACAATCATATTATAAAATAACACTGAGCCGAATGACTAAAATCGATAAACTCATATAGGATATACTAGCTCCGGATCCAAAGAAGGACTGGGCCGTGGCCCGGGGTGGCCACCCCCTGGATCCGAAACTACTAACAATGACTTGATCTAGTGACAATATCACTAATCTTCAGCCTAGATATATCTCAAATTCCAATCTCTTAATTAATGGGTTAATTGCATGGTTGGTCACTGAGATTATAAAAAACGTTCATATTTGGTCATTGGAAATATTTAAATCCAATCTTGGTCACTCAAATTAGTTAAATGGTTCAAGTTTGGTCACTCTCCGTCCAACTCCGTTAACTTTTGCTTACATGGCAGTCAACTATTACAGTTGACCGTTAAATGTGTGACATGGCAATTAAAAAATAATAAAATAAATAAAATTTAATTATTTAAAATTGACACGTCATTATTACACTATTATAAAAAAATCTTTTAGTTGTGGCCACCGTCACCGACGCTGGACGTGCTTCAGCAGCGTGGGGATCTGGGTTCGTTGCCACGACGGTGGAATTGACCGCCGAGAAATGGCTCACCGATCTCAAATCCATTCACCGGAGCAAGCAGGGAGGAAACATACAACGTCTCCGGCAAAGACCCTAGAGTTAATACTAACAATAAATTTACCTTAACGTCCTCGATCTCTGACGGTGAAACGGGTGGGCTGTCGGTGATTGAACCGTTGAGTGGGTCTCTGCTGTGTGAATGCCTGCTGGAAGTTCTCGGAGACACCTCTTGCGGGTGTCGGAAAAACAATTTATCAAGAACAAAACAGAGCAATGGACATTAGTCGGAAGGATTGATTTAATGGAATAATTTATTAATTTAATAAATAAATGGCAACTGAAATGTGTGGCATAGGTACTCTGTTTTTCTTCTTCTTATTCTTCTCTACTGTACGTTACGAAGAAGAGCAGAAAGGGGAAAAGAAGCTCACCGAGTGGGACAAGATACGGTCCATGACCATCCAGGAGGTCTCGGAGGAAGCGAAGGAGGAAGCAAACAGCGGCGGCACTGCATCCTCTCGTCCACCAGAGCCTTCGTCGTCGGGCTAGACACCACCACTCTACTTCTCTTCGCCGTCACCGATAGTCTGTATATCAACCCAATCGATCTAATTTCTTGTTTCCTCCAATTCGAAGAGATGCATGAGTGAAGGAAGTTGTTGTGATGAAATCGACCACCACTGCAAAACAGGGAACCAACAGCCACACAATTTCTTCTTCCCCGAACGCCTGACATCCTCTCCCTAGCACTCTCGACCGATCCGGACTCACCAGGAGCTGCTACGCCAAACATTGACCATCTTCGCTCAACCTTCCTCGCCATTTGGTTACGCCGCCGTTGAAAGCTGCAGAAATTAAGTTATTGGTTTGCTCAGCAATAGACGGCGGAGGAGGCAAATGACAAAGTTCCTGTTCATTCTCCCTTGCCTAGTCCCCACCGGCGATTCTCCTGGAAGAAGAAAAGATGGGCTTCTTTGGTATTCAACTCCTCCCATCAATTCACAGAAACACAGATCCCCCACTCTACTTTCATCGGTGACAATTAAAAGAATTTATTTTATTTTTCTATTATTTAATATTTGTAATAATGAGGTGAAAAATTAAAAAAATAAATTAAATTTATTTTATTATTTTTTAATTGCCACGTCACATATTTAACGGTCAATTTTAAGAGTTGACTGCCACATAAGCAAAAGTTAACGGAGTTGGACGGAGAGTGACCAAACTTGGAATGTTTAAGTAATTTGAGTGACCATGATTGGATTTAAATATTTCTAGTGACCAAATATGAACGTTTTTTTGTAATCTCAGTGACCAACCATACAATTAACCCCTTAATTAATACCTAAGTACTAAAAGCAATCTCTTATATAAAAAGACAATATTGTAAGATGAAGCATGAGCTCCCCTTTCTCTCCACCTCCCGCTGATCTCTTCTGAGTTGGACCAGCCCGGGCCGTCCGGTTTGGAATGATTTCGCATGGCCGGCAAAATTTAAAGGTTAAAAGTCAGAAAGAGTTTCCTGCACACCGGTAACTCTTTCCTCTTGTAAAACGGCATAAGCATATGCCGAAAACGACAACATCTCCCGTCACAGAATGACAAGCAAAAGCAGCACCGGCCTTTCGAATGCTTCAATTAATTCCATGTCTCTCCTTGGGGCTTGGAATGGTTCGAATTAGGTTTTCTTTGCTCCCCAACTGGTCTGTATATAACTCATAAATGAAAGTCTAGGGATGAGCATGTCTCGGTCTAGAATCGAACTGAATGAAAAGAATGAGGACTAGAGATAAATTATTTAAGGGTTCCGGCAATCAACCCACACTCTCATATGTTCATGAAATTTTCATTCTAACCACTAACAAATTTAACAATCCACCACATCACATTCCATACCCCGATCGAACAACTAATCATCCAAACAATCGACAAAAGCAAATATAACAATACATTCCTCGATAAAGAATATGTCACATCTTATCGCAAAGTCCTGTCTATCAAAACAACCCCATTAATGTTTCCAAACTCTTGATTAAAAAAGTGGCTTTGATCAACTATCCGTGTGACTGGCTAGCCAACTTGGCAAGATGTTTATAAGAACAATGACCACGCATCTAGCTTTACAAATTCAACCTATCAACACCACCTACAAGATGTTTAGCCACTTAGAAGCAGATTAGAGGTCAATATGTTGTCAAAAAAAAAAAAAAAGATTAGAGGCCAATAAAGGCTAGAATTGAAAGTAGGTGTCCTTGTCTTATACTATGGGAAAAACCATTTTTTTGGGCCTAAAGAGATAAGGCTCTCTTTCTTTACAACTCAACCTATCAACACCACCTACAATTAGGACTATTAATGATTCGCGTCGAGTCGAAATTTTTCATAGTTCGGACTCGGCTCATTAATATATTTTCAGGATCGAGTTCCGTTCGTGTTCGTTACGAGTTTTAATATACAAGTTTGAGTTTGGCTCGCTAAATAAGGTTAACGAGCCCAAAATTGAGTTCAACACATAAAATGTTCATTATAGCTCAAGATTGAGCTAGAGTTGAGCACAAAATTATATTCAAACCTGTAGCAAATTCTAACAAAATAAAACACAATATTTGCCCAATTTCAATACATAAAATCCATGAATTCCAATCCTTTCTGATGCCAAGACGTTAGATGAGTTTGTTCGCGAGCTTTCGAGCTGAACATGGTATGGCTCGAGTTCGGCTCGTTTAGTTAACGAGCTTGTTCGCGAGCCAGCTCGATTAGGACGAATCGAGTCTCGAATGAGTTTTTCTCGAATCGGACGCCAAGTCGTTCATGAGCGGCTTGGTTCATTAATGCCCCTACCTAAAATATATATTGTGGGATTAAAAAATAATTACCTCATTTATGCTTACCGTTGAGATGGACGCAGACGGTGGAGATTGCCTAGTGTACGACATACACCAAGTTTTGCCTGGTGTACGATATAACCATCTATATATATATACTACCAATTACAAGACACCTACTTGTCTTAGGATATAGGAAGTGATGTTCATGTTCCTCAATCTAGTGCTTTTTCTTTCCCCTCCTTTGATTAATTAGTAAAAATACTCCCATCAATACATGCGTTAGGAGTGTGTATGTATGTCTTTGCTAAGAATAAGTCTCTATGAAACTTATGTGTTTATCTATTGCTAGTTCTCAAATGGTGATCTCTTTAGCAGTATAGAGCATGTTTTGAAGACATTACATGCTAGTATAAATGGTATAAAATCATAATTGAATCTCTTTCAATAAACCAAGTTATTGGAACCCTATTTGTTAAGCATGTGTTATTGGGACGTTGCAAAATTCAATGGGGGAGTGTTAGTAAATGATGTTGGCTTCATAATTGAACCTTTTTCAATAAACCGAGTTATTGGGACCAATTGGTTTACTAAATAATGTTAGCTTCATAATTGAACCTTTTTCAATAAACCGAGTTATTGGAACCAATTGGTTCTTGACATTACATTGTTCATTTATCACAATGATGAGATGCTAATTATAGTGAGGAGGGA